GCGTCGGACTAAATGAAAGCTTTGTGATGAACAGGTGTGTTGGGGCGACTAATATACCCTTGTATTAGGTATAATAGAGCCGCCTAGTATTAATATAGCCTTGTGCTAAGTATAATAGAGCCTCCTAGTATTAATATAGCCTTGTGCTAGGTATAATAGAGCCTCCTAGTATTAATATAGCCTTGTGCTAAGTATAATAGAGCCTCCTAGTATTTATATAGCCTTGTGCTAAGTATAATAGAGCCTCCTAGTATTAATATAGCCTAGTGCTAGGTGTAATAGAGCCTCCTAGTATTAATATAGCCTTGTGCTAGGTATAATAGAGCCTCCTAGTATTAATATAGCCTTGTGCTAAGTATAATATAGCCTCCTAGTATGAATATAGCCTTGTACTAGGTATAATAGAGCCTCCTAGTATTAATATAGCCTTGTGCTAAGTATAATAGAGCCTCCTAGTATTAATATAGCCTTGTGCTAGGTATAATAGAGCCTCCTAGTATTAATATAGCCTAGTGCTAGGTATAATAGAGCCTCCTAGTATTAATATAGCCTTGTGTTAGGTACAATAGAGCCTCCTAGTATTAATATAGCCTTGTGCTAAGTATAATAGCCTCCTAGTATGAATATAGCCTTGTACTAGGTATAATAGAGCCTCCTAGTGCTAAGTATAATAGAGCCTCCTAGTATTAATATAGCCTTGTGCTAGGTATAATAGAGCCTCCTAGTATTAATATAGCCTTGTGCTAAGTATAATAGAGCTTCCTAGTATTAATATAGCCTAGTGCTAGGTATAATAGAGCCTCCTAGTATTAATATAGCCTTGTGCTAGGTATAATAGAGCCTCATAGTATGAATATAGCTTTGTAATAGGTATAATACAGCCTCCTAGCATTAATATAGCCTTGTGCTAATTATAATAGCCTCCTAGTATTAATATAGCCTTGTACTAGGTATAATAGAGCCTCCTAGTATTAATATAGCCTTGTGCTAAGTATAATAGAGCCTCCTAGTATTAATATAGCCTTGTGCTAAGTATAATATAGCCTCCTAGTATTAATATAGCCTTGTCCTAGGTATAATAGAGCCTCCTAGTATTAATATGGCCTTGTGCTAGGTATAATGGAGCCTCCTAGTTTTAATATAGCCTTGTGCTGGGTATAATTTAGCCTCCTAGTATTAATATAGCCTTGTGCTAGGTATAATAGAGCTTCCTAGTATTAATATAGCCTTGTGCTAGGCATAATAGAGCCTCCTAGTATTAATATAGCATTGTGATAAGTATAACAGATGCTCCTAGTATTAATATAGCCTTGTGCTAGGTATAATAGAGCCTCCTAGTATTAATATAGCCTTGTGCTAAGTATAACAGAGCCTCCTAGTATTAATATAGCCTTGTGCTAGGTATAACATAGCCTCCTAGTATTAATATAGCCTTGTGCTACGTATAATAGAGCCTCCTAGTATTAGTATAGCCTTGTGCTAGGTATAATATAGCCTCCTAGTATTAATATAGCCTTGTGCTAGGTATAATAGCCTCCTAGTATTAATATAGCCTTGTGCTAAGTATAATAGAGCCTCCTAGTATTAATATAGCCTTGTACTAGGTATAATAGAGCCTCCTAGTATTAATATAGCCTTGTGCTAGGTATAATAGAGCCTCCTAGTATTAATATAGCCTTGTGCTAAGTATAATAGAGCCTCCTAGTATTAATATAGCCTTGTGCTAGGTATAATAGAGCCTCCTAGTATTAATATAGCCTTGTGCTAAGTACAATAGAGCCTCCTAGTATTAATATAGCCTTGTACTAGGTATAATAGAGCCTCCTAGTATTAATATAGCCTTGTGCTAGGTATAACAGAGCCTCCTAGTATTAATATAGCCTTGTGCTAAGTATAATAGAGCCTCCTAGTATTAATATAGCCTTGTGCTAGGTATAATATAGCCTCCTAGTATTAATATAGCCTTGTGCTACTTATAATAGAGCCTCCTAGTATTAATATAGCCTTTTGCTATGTATGATAGAGCCTCCTAGTATTAATATAGCCTTGTGCTAAGTATAATAGAGCCTCCTAGTATTAATATAGCCTTTTACTATGTATAATAGAGCCTCCTAGTATTAACATAGCCTTGTGCTAAGTATAATAGAGCCTCCTAGTATTAATATAGCCTTGTACTAGGTATAATATAGGTATTAATATAGCCTTGTCCTATGTATAATAGAGCTTCCTAAGAAGATTAATATGGTTTTAAAGACTTAATATATCTTTTTGTAGTGATTAATATAGTTTTTTTGTCATTGTTAGATTAATATATTCTTTGGTAAGGATTAATGTAGTTTGGATAATGGATTAATATAGTTTTAAGGGGTCAAACATGTGTATGATGTGGGGTGAAACAGGTGTATAATGTGTGGTGAAACAGGTGAATGATGGGGAGTGAAACAAGTGAATGATGGAGGGTGAAACAGGTGAATGATGTGGGGTTAAACAGGTGTATGATGTGGGGTCAAACAGGTGAATGATGTGGGGTCAAACAGGTGTATGATGTGGGGTCAAACAGGTGAATGATGTGGGGTCAGACAGGTGTATGATGTGGGGTCAAACAGGTGAATGATGTGGGGTGAAACAGGTGTATGATGTGGGGTCAAGCAGGTGAGTGATATGGGGTCAGACAGGTGTATGATGTGGGGTGAAACATGTGTATGATGTGGGCTTAATCATGTGTATGATGTGGGGTGAAACAGGTGAATGATGTGGGTGGTCAAATAGATGTATAGTGTGGGTGGTCAAACAGATTTATGGTGTGGGTGGTCAAACAGATGTATGGTGTGGGTGGTCAAACAGATGTATGGTGAGGGGGTCAAACAGATGTATGGTGTGGGTGATCAAACAGATTTATGGTGTGGGTGGTCAAACAGATTTATGGTGTGGGTGGTCAAATAGATGTATAGTGTGGGAGGTCAAACAGGTGTATGGTGTGGGAGGTCAAACAGGTGTATGGCGTGGGAGGTCAAACAGGTGTATGGTGTGGGGGTCAAACAGGTGTATGGTGTGGGATTAACAAGTGTATGGTGTGGGATTAACAGATGTATGGTGTGGGATTAACAGGTGTATGGTGTGGGATTAACAGGTGTATGGTGTGGGATTAACAGGTGTATGGTGTGAGATTAACAGGTGTATGGTGTGGGATTAACAAGTGTATGGTGTGGGATTAACAGGTGTATGGTGTGGGATTAACAGATGTATGGTGTGGGATTAACACGTGTATGGTGTGGGATTAACAGGTGTATGGTGTGGGATTAACAAGTGTATGGTGTGGGATTAACAGGTGTATGGTGTGGAATTAGCATGTGTATGGTGTGGAACTAACAGGTGTATGGTGTAGGATTAACAGGTGTATGGTGTGGGATTAACAGATGTATGGTGTGGGATTAACAGGTGTATGGTGTGGGATTAACAGGTGCATGGTGTGGGATTAATAAGTGTATGGTGTGGAATTAACCGGTGTATGGTGTTGAAATAACAGGTGTATTGTGTGGGATGAACAAGTGTATGGTGTGGAATTAACAGGTGTATGGTGTGGAATTAACAGGTGTGTGGTGTGGGATTAACAGGTATATGGTGTGGGATTAATAGTTGTATGGTGTGGAATTAACAGGTGTATGGTGTGGGATTAACAGGTATATGGTGTGAGATTAACATGTATATGGTGTGGAATTAACAGGTGTATGGTGTGGAATTAACAAGTATATGGTGTGGGATTAACAGGTATATGGTGTGGGATTACCAGGTGTATGGTGTGGAATTATTAGGTGTATGGTGTGGTATTAACAGGTGTATGATGTGGGATTAACAAGTGTATGGTGTGGGATTAACAGGTGTATGGTGTGGGATTAACAAGTTTATGGTGTGGGATTAACAGGTGTATGGTGTGGAATTAACAGGTGTATGGTGTGGGATTAACAAGTGTATGGTGTGGGATTAACAGGTGTATGGTGTGGAATTAACAGGTGTATGTTGTGGGATTAACAGGTGTATGGTGTGGTATTAACAGGTGTATGGTGTGGAATTAACAAGTGTATGGTATGGGATTAACAGGTGTATGGTGTGGGATTAACAGGTGTATGGTGTGGAATTAACAGGCGTATGGTGTGGAATTAACAGGTGTATGGTGTGGGATTAACAAGTGTATGGTGTGGGATTAACAGGTGTATGGTGTGGAATTAACAGGTGTATGGTGTGGGATTAACAAGTGTATGGTGTGGGATTAACAGGTGTATGGTCAGAGGCTAAACAGATGTATGATTTGGGATCAAGCAGATATATGGTGTGGGGGTCAAACAGGTGTATATGCGGTCACAGATGTATGGTGTGGAGGGTCACAGATGTATGGTGTAGGTGGTCAAACAGATGTATGGTGTGGGTGGTCAAACAGATGTATGGTGTGGGTGGTCAAACAGATGTATGGTGTGGGTGGTCAGACAGATGTATGGTGAGGGTGGTCAAATAGATGTAAGTGTGGGTGGTCAAATAGATGTATAGTGTGGGTGGTCAAACAGATTTATGGTGTGGGTGGTCAAACAGATGTATGGTGTGGGTGGTCAAACAGATGTATGGTGAGGGGGTCAAACAGATGTATGGTGTGGGTGATCAAACAGATTTATGGTGTGGGTGGTCAAACAGATTTATGGTGTGGGTGGTCAAATAGATGTATAGTGTGGGAGGTCAAACAGGTGTATGGTGTGGGAGGTCAAACAGGTGTATGGCGTGGGAGGTCAAACAGGTGTATGGTGTGGGGGTCAAACAGGTGTATGGTGTGGGAGGTCAAATAGATGTATAGTGTGGGAGGTCAAACAGGTGTCTGATACAGGGTCAAAAAGGTGCATGACACGGGGTCAAACAGGTGCAGGACACGGGGTTAAACAGGTGCATGACACGGGATCAAACAGGTGCATGACACGGGGTTAAACAGGTAAATAAATAACATAGAGATAACTCAC